CTCTTTTCTTTGTACTGCTCATAGTCTCTTTGGCCCATGCAGCGTAGCGCTGTAGTCTTCCAGAGATGCTAACATAGTGCACGACACGCCTTGGAATTGAATTTGCATCTCACTCGATCACAACTGCACTCCCTGGCCACCCCCTCACAAGAGCGCTGCCTAGCCAGACTCAATAGCATCGGCGCCATCCATGCAAGCGCACCATATACAAGATAAAAAAGAAAGAATATACAAAAAAAAGAAACATGAACAGTTCTGTAGTGATTCATTCAATTATGTGGTCGTGTTATCCTGGATCACTGCCGGTTGAGAACATGGGTGTACTGTCTGTTTCGCCTCTGTCAAAGTACAACAAGGCATTGCTACAAAATAAAGGCTTTGGCAGCAAGTGATTATTTGTTGTGGCCTCATCTACAAGCATACTGAAGGATTACTTGCAAGCGTGATGTTTCATTCAGATGCATGTGGATCAAGCCTGCCAATAATTTTTTTCAGTTTTTGCGAAATGGAATGTCTTAACTTAGTGACCAAAGTCTCGGTTAAGTAGTTTTCAGCGTAAAAGCTTAGTGCCTCGTAGTGTAGTCACTGGAGCTGCAATATTTGTATTTCATGAAAAATGTTTTTGCCCTTTTTTGTACATGTATAAAAAGAGGAAAGGGAATATGGTGTTTCCAGATAAGTGCTCATACTATAGTTGATTCTCACCAGTTTTACTGGTGAGAATTAGCACGGTGGGGCTAGAAGACAAGATAGAGGTTAAAGATGTGGTGGTTTGCATAACCTGTGCCTTTAAGCATTGAAGTGCATACAACTGCATCACAATGTATTGAATTGTTAGATAAAGCATGGTAATCCTTATGTGTTAATAATATCTGGAGTTGTACGTCCCAAAACTACAACCCGAGTAGACCCCGTAGTGGAGGGCTCCGGAAATTCAGACCATCTGGTGTTCTTAAAGGTGTGCCGACGGCACATACGACACTGATCTCTAGCATTTTGCCTCCTTCAAAATGCGACTGCCCCGGCCAGGATTGAACCTGCGACCTGCAGGTCAGCAGTTAGCACACTAACCGCTACACCATCGCGGCGAACCCTAAAATGTTTGATGTTTTCAAGTATGATTTCCTTGAGTAAAGGTACCTTGGTGTCTCGTGAAGCTCTTCAAGGTTGGGTCTCGTGTAGAGGACGTTGCAGCAGGAACCCGTCAAGTGTATCTGACTACAATTGAGCGTTCTCACAAGTTTAATATCAAATGTGCCAATTAAAGGGGACCTACGAACAGTTCGAGCATGTATTTTTTATCGGTTCTTCTGGTGCCGTGGAATGCGCCGTAATCGTGCAAGTGGCAGCGCCAAAATTGAAGCTGTTATAATTTTAATTCACGGGACAAACTACCCTGATCTCGGACTACAGCGACACACATAGGCAATTTTTGTTATGGAAAGTGACGTGATGACAAAGACTGTTCACTTTTGATTGGCTTGACGCGACAAGTGGGATGCAGTATTCATGTGGTGGTAACTAGGCCATGTGAGTGGATGCTAAGTACAGCAAAAACCTTTTTTTATACTTTCTCGGGAAGCCATCATTCCTGTGTTTAAATATGCATTTTTTTAACAGTGAACATGACACTTACTCAGCGAACGAGGTTACGGTATGCCAGCAACTAAAGGTGGAAACACATACCGCGTTTTTAGTGAGCCAAAAATGTGACTTGTGGCAGACGCCAGCGTTGCCGTAGAATGTGTCTGACATGCAAGCCGAGTAGTGGCCCCACCCAAAGGGTATGTATTATCTTGCACAGCGAGACTGGGAGCGTGTGCTACCTGACCCACGTGGTTCGTCCCAATCATGCTCGCGACACCGTCCAAAAGAGTGGTAGCGAGGTATTGTGTGAAGTCCACCATGAGGTGACATTTTCAGTATGTCTTTGTACGGTGCGCACTGTGATAGAAGTGGTCTTTCACGTCGGCAGGCGAGTGAAATGCGAAAGAGAACGTTTCTCGTCGTTGTCTGCTTGAGTTTTGAATTTTGAGGACTCATAACTTCATTTTTCGTGCAAAAATTTTCATCATTGTTGTATTGGTTTTGGGAATCATTGCTACACACGTTCTGGTGATAAATAAGGCTGTCACAAGAGTTGCAGGGCCCCTTTAAATAGCATTGTAAGGACTATGCGTGTTTGAGTGAATTTACCTAAGAGCTATTGTTTTTAAGAATGCTCTTTAGGTAGTGGTCTATTTTAACCTTGGTTGGTGTAGTGTTTTTTCAAGATGCAAGGGTGGCACAGGATATGTAGGTTTGGGAACAGTCCTGTGAGCAGGCAAAAGTGCCTTTTGTAGTTGGCTTAGAGCACCCACAAGGCCCTTTTGAGCAAGTTGGGAGCAGAGAAAAAGTTCACAGCAGATGTTACTTGTTTCACATGCACATGTGAAGCAACCCTTGTGTAATGTTGAATTCCAATGGTGGAGTCTGAGCAAGTTTTTCTGCTCCTTTTGGAGCTACTGTGTAGAGTGACTCCGAGAAACAAGAAAAGTTGCTCCACTCAAATTGGCGAAGTGTACCGTAACTCGGCGTTGATGCACTCTTAACGCGTTCGCCGGCTTGGGGGTGCCGCCGCTGTCGCATGTTTTGGCAGTAATGGTGGACGACGTGACCGACTGGGCGCTAGATAGTGACCGCTTCATGTTGGAAATCTCCAGTTCTTGCACGAGCGGTTCATCGAATAGTGACAGCGAGATTGAAACTACCGTGTACAAGCATTAATTCAACATAATTCGACAGTGGAATGAGCAGAATGGAATAACGACACGCAAGGTATTCTAGGCAACTCTCCGACTTCTGCTTCGACCTTGCTTCCCATGCTTGCTTCGGCAGGGTGACCTGTGCTGAGTGCTCGCTTACAGAGTCCATCGGCTCCCAGACTCTGCCACTGGAATTCAATGTAATGCTGCATTTTTTTTCAAACGTTAAGCTAAATTGTGCTATAGCCTTATAGGCATTGTTATAGGAGAATGTACACTTGGTGAGCAGTCCTGAGCGCTCTCTCTACTAGGCTGTTTTTTGGGGAAGTGGACACCACCCCCCTATTTTTAACCACCATTGCAGTCATTTTTACTTTTGTGAACACTGCCATCAAGTTATTAAAAAAAAAAATCTGTTTGCCCCAAGGGTGAAGCAATGAATGTGATAGCAATTAGTTGCCAGCATTACTTCGTATAACGGTACAACTAATACTCCTGTCACACGGCAAATATAATGTTGTTTTCAGCGAATGTCATTCGTTTGTGATGTCATTTCTTTGCTGTCGCGTGGGAAAACTAATGTCATTTGATGAAAATTAGATTTTCTATTGCAGGAGTTTCCGAAGCGCATTCGCATTCGATTTCGGACCGAATGAGTAGACTCGACGCCTGGGACTTGAGAGATGACTCTGTTAACTGATGTACACACAACTTTTATTATTCGCAAATATCTTGTTCATTAATAGATCAACGTATTACTGGTTTGATCACATCATGGCACGTGCGAAAATGTATAAAAAAAAAAACTACTCTCAACCACAGTGGCTGGACGCCGGCCACATTTTGTTTTGCTTTGTTGTTGTTGCCTGTATCGCAGATATTGATCGTCCGATTCCACGTTGGCTGCGGCGGCTGCATTTCCGATGGAGGCGGAAATGAAGGAGGCCCGTGTGCTCAGATTTGGGTGCACGTTAAAGAACCCCAGGTGGTCTAAACTTCCGGAGCCCTCCACTACGGCATCTCTCATAATCATATGGTGGTTTTGGGACGTTAAACCCCACATACCAACCGATTCCACATGTTGTGGTGACTACATGAAATCGGTGCCACGGTCTCATTTCTGCAGCCGGGAAGTCATGCGTCCCGCTTCAGTTCGTTGTACTTGCGCTCCGTCATATCGTCGGCCATGTTGGGTTTTGAGTGGGTCGTGCAGCTGTGGCAAGTTGTATAAGACGGCCACGTTTATATCTTAAGAGCATCTTTTTACTCATTAAAATATTTGTGGATACACGTATATTACGTGAAAGTTCTAGTATACTTTTATTTCTCCCACAATTCCCAGCTGAGGTAAAGTCATTTCAAAATGACATTTGTTTTCGTCGTGTGACAGCACTTGGGTAAGATGACATTGTTTGCTTAATGCCATTCGTTGTAAATGACATATCTGCCGTGTGACAGGGGTATAACTCTGGTGGATCCAGTATCGTGTATCTCTGCGAAATGCTGGTGTAAGAGAATATTGCCGTGCCAGAGGGAAACGATCTGATTTTTTCGCACAGTCTCTTCGCTTAGAGAGCACTGGAATTGAAAGGGTCTGGAAGCCATGTGCGCTGATGCCTGCAGAGTTAGCACACATGCCAGCGAACCCTCGCGATCCAACTTTACAGCTGCTGCTCAAGGGATCACTGCCTTGATGAAACCGAAAACAATGTTTCAGCTGCGTTATCAAGCATGGAGCTTCGTAGCTGTCGCTCCTTGTGACTGAGTTAGGGTGCTATGGTGCTGATAAACGAGTTTTCCGCAACCGGGTGATTTTGAACATGTAGGTGCAAATGTTCCACCCCTGAAGATTCATTCACACTGGCAGTTCAAAGACCACGTTTGATCCAGGAGACATGCTTGCCAAGGCTGCCATTCTTTCTTGGGCAAGCTGATAGTTTGAACTTTAAAGCCAAAATTCTTGGTGTATGTTTTGGGATATCATCTTCCAGACTAGAAAGCACAAAAGCAAAATTATGTGTCACACCCCATACCTCTGATTGCTCTTGTACAAATGTTTGGTGGCATCTTTCCCCACACACGACATGAAATGTGGCTCCTGGGAGCGATTCTTTACTGAACCTTACTTTGCCTTTTGCAGTTGTGCCTCCGTCGTGCCAGTACCATCCTCAGGAGTCAAAAGGCTATTGTGCTGAAAAAGAAGAGTGCTCGCCCTGCTAAGAAGGCTGACTGAGTGATCACACCAGACCAATAAAACATGCTTTGAAGCAGATTTATTGCATTGAAAGTGGTTTTCTTCTTCGTTCCGTAATGGACAACCATGAGAACACGGGTCCCAGGATTGATAAGAGGACATGCAATACTGCCAACAGCACATTGTTTAACATTAGAAGAAACGCAAAAACTTCATGTAAATGTAGTGTAGATATTTAACAGAGCAGGATGCAGCACGTGACTTAGTGAGCTTCAGCATGGTGTGCGCAAGGTGCCTATTTTGTGTGGCAATGCTTCAGTGTGTTGGCAACTCCCATTTGTGCTCATCACGCACGGGAGGACATTGCTACAGCATAGCTATAATTAATAAATAGCATAAGTATACAGTGCAACACTCTTGCAACCACTGTAGTGCAGTGTTGGCCAAATGCTTGTTTGCGTAGTGTCTGAAGTGCATTGTGAGAACTGGCGTTGCCAGCCACTGCATCAACAGCTACTCATTGCAAGAGCCTGTACATAGTGTGCACTATTGCATGTGCCAACTGAACCTCTGTATGGCAGCACATGTACGTTCACGATGCTGACAAGCATTGCCATGCGTACATGTTGCAGAAGTGTTGCACACACCCCACTAAAGTCTATTGACTTGCTTGGTTGCCTTCACCGGTGCACCTCCACACACCCGCGAAGTACAGAAAGACCTACTCCCTGCCACTAAAGAATTAGATGCTGGACACTCGCACGTAACGCCTTTTTGCCTAGGTCTACGATTGCCTGAACAACACTGCCACAACCCCATGTGCATAAAAGTGGAGGGGGTGGGAAAGACTGCAGGTATAGTAGCATTTTTTTTAATGCAACAACGCATGCTGGTAGAAGTCTGCAACACTGCTTGACATCATCCATGCATGTCGCTCTAGTTTTCAATGATATACACACACAGACAGACCAACTTCTGCTAAAGAGTGGCTCCCAGATAGCTTTGGCAGCCAGGGGTTTGTGGAAGGGATAAAGCTCCCTGGACCCACTGAACAGGAATGTCTCCCTTTGGTGCACAGCAGTTGCCTCAATTGCTCAGATCTCTCAGGTCGCTGAGAAAGCCCTCGGGTGTAAGAATGTGGTCCGAGCCTGTTGGGAAGGAACCATTAAAAGTAGGCGTCAAATGAAAAAAAAAAAAAAAAAAAGCATATCCTCTATTTCGCAAAGTGCAAGACGGGTTAGGAAAAGTGGCATCCAACTGTTAGCAACGCAGAGTTCTTGGAAAGCACAGCCTTCTAGTTCGCAGAAGCAAGGAAGCTTTGCTGTTGAGATGTGCGCTAAGAACAGGAGGGGAAAAAAAGCACTTCTATGACTGCAGGCACTCACGAACTGTCCCACTCGGAGGAACAAAACCTATGCTCTGCCAAGTCAATAGTCAATTCTTATGTATTTAAATGCACAATGCAAAAACCCATATCTGACTTAGAAAATCAAGCATGCTTATTCAGTAAGTCATGTCATCCACTAGCATTTCAGTGAAAAAAGCTTCATGAAAAACTCTCGTCAGTACACTACACTGTACGGTTAAAATACATTGAAGTGTATGCATTTACATGCGTTTGTTTCTAGCATGTATGATTTGGCAAAGGAATGTTTAAGATCTTGAATGTAAAGCCCCCAAAATTTTGTGGGAGCAAAGAAAAAAAAAAAAAACCCATATCTGCATGTCACACTACAAATGTCGTCGAAAGGCGATAGTCTTGCGTCTGGAGAGAGTGAACAAAACGTTTATCTGGTGTTCTGCACAAGAAAATTGGTGAATGGTATTCTGGAGGCGCTGCGTTAGAGTGCCTCGAGCGTGCAGCAGAGGCGAATGAGCACATCAAGTCCCGTCACACATGAGACAGGAGCGCTATCTGGCAGTTATCTTGGAAAAGGAAGCGTGCAGCGTGTGCACCCATCTCGGAGCTGATAAGGCTTAGAACTCAAGGCGCTGGGTAGGTGTAAACCACTGTGTCGTCTTAGCAAAGCGTTGGAAACACTTGTCTTGTTTTGTGCAAGCGTTACATTGTCAGCGCAGTGTGATAAACGCTAGGGTCCTTAGAATTACTTATGTATGCTTTTTCTAGTAAAAAGACACACATACAGAGTATTGACCTGTTGTTATGGTGCCTGAGATATGCGCAATTATTGCTTTTTAATTGACAATTGCACAAGTATGAACGCTGAATCTTGAGCATTATTGGTGGACACTGCGGATGGGGTCGGCTGTTTAGGGTATCGTTTGGTGCCGCTTAGAGTACAGTTAAGGGCAGACGAACAGATAAATGTACAGACAGACAGACCAAAATTTTTGTGCCGAAGGTCCCCAAGAAAAACTATCGTCTTTAAAAAAGATGTGCTCATTAACATGTGTAGAGATACCCTTCAGGGTGGGGGAGGGGGGCAAAAGCTAATCACAGCAAACTTCTACCACTTAGGTGATTAAGTGATTGGAGGGGGGGGGGGGGGGAAGCTGCACTGTCGTGCACAGGCCTATGTTCATCTCTCTTCCAGCAGTACTTACCACAGCAAGAATAATTTTAAAATGTTTAACAGGCATTCCCCAGTCAGACTTGTAAATAAGTGCCACAGGAGCTCTTAATCCACCTCTTAAGCATTTGGTGTTTGTTTTTAACACAGTGATTATTGTTTCAATTTGTTTACATAGGATGCTTTTTACTACATTATGCTTTATTACTTAAAATTCTGTTCGTGGATTTTTTGCAGATTCAGAAAAACACCTAGCATCTGGATGGTAGCATTTCTTGCGAGCAAGTTTTGTGGCGACTTGCTCCAGTCTTGAAGCTTTGTCAATATTGTGGTGATGATTCATGAAATTCCCGCCAAGGTTTCATACAGGGACATAAGCTATTGCCAGAGGCACCACCGTGAGCAGCAGGTGACTGATACATTGCGTTTGGAAGGGCAGTTGTGCATTTGCACACAGGACATACATTTTTTTGTACTTTTTTTCCCTTATTCACTAAGTGAACATAGCAGTAGCGAGTGCTAACCAAATAATATCTCCTTCAGGAGTGAATTATGAGCGATTGTCTGTAAATGTGTGAAATTTACGGAACTTTGTTCTAAGGCACTTCATAATCTATTGCAATAGAGAAAAAGTACGCTGATTCACACATTTTCAGTGATTACTGATTAACCTTAAATTAGAGGTAATTAAATATCTATTTTGAACTTAGTCATGTCCTACTTTTGTATAAAAATAATAAACACTCAGGCTCAAAATACATGGGCAATTTGTTATTGGTTGCATCTATTCCAAGCAAATTAGAATTTTTGTGTACCTTCTAGAATGGGGCACATTGAACAGCTTGTCGAAAATATGCAGAGATAGAGACTTGGTTTAAAGAAGATTTTAGTGTGTTCAGCAAAGGAATTTTCTGCAGCAACACAGAGTAAAATCAAGTTAAAAGATGTCCGCTGCAATGAAGCAGTGGTTATCTCGGCCACGACGGTCGCATTCCGATGGAAGTTAAATGCTTGAGGCCTGTGTACTGTGCGATGTCAGTGCACGTTAACACCAGATGGTTGAAATTTCCGGAGCCCTCCACAACGGCATCTCTCATAATCATATTGTGATGGGGTAGATGCCGTAGTAGAGGGCTCCAGAAATTTCAACCACCTGGTGTTCTTTAAGGTGTACTGACATCGCACAGCACATGGGCCTATACTATTTTGTTTCCGACTGCCGCCACCGGTATTGACCCCGTGACCTTCAGCTCAGCAGTAGAGTACCCTAGCCACTGATATGCCGAGGTGGATGATCCACAACATATCAACTTTAGTATACTTAACACTGTAATCTTAATACATGTACAGTACTCATGGATTGAAACGAGATATTTTTTAGTAGAATGGCTGCTATGTGCAATTACTTGTGATAACCATGTCATGTCGCTGCCAATCTGGTTCCTAAAGTTAACGTTAACTATGTGTAAGTGTTCAAGTCACAATTAAGCCAATATGACATGAAATGCAGCCGCTGGAAACAAAACCACACATTACTTAGTCCTACATTATTGCCTTTTTATCTATCAGCACTTTACAACGCAAATACACAATGCTAATAGAGTCAAGTCAATAATAATAGTCAAGTAAGAGCAAATCAAGAGCAGTTGCTATCATCAATGCTCTGATGGTAATGCTTATAGCACAGTTAATTTTGGCTACACATGGCCAGTAAAAAAAAAACAATGAAAGTAAGATGGAATGACCAAGCAAACACTCATTAATAGAATATCAAAGCCAACTATCTGGTAATATTATACAAGAGCAAAGAATGAATGACTACAATAAATACAAAGAAAGCCCAGCACTGGCAGTGAGAAGGTGCAGAGCTTACCAATGATAACCTCCCAGTTCTTCACTTCCTTGGTGACTTCATATGCACAGCGCATTTCCGAGTATGTCATGCCGCCAATGACGAAGACAATCAGGCGAGGCACATTCTTGACATTAGGTGTATTCTTATCCTTGTGCCAGTGGCCATAGCGCTGACTGTGAACATAAACAGGCGTTTGCTTTTTACACACACTGAACAGTTGAATTTGTGTGCATCAGATGAAAATACATATTGCAGCATGGATATACGGAACAGGTAGAAGCGTCAACGAAAGAAAAGAAAGAAGACTGCTGTTGCTGCTCGCTCCTCTTGACAACTGGTCGATTCTACTTCTGTAATTCTTTAATAAATGTCTCTACGGCTCACCGCTAAAGGCGTGGTATCAAGTGGTGGAGAGTGCTGGATCCCTTTTCAATCCTGGAACTCTGCAACCAGACTATACCTTCGCCATTAACAATGTCAACCGACGTTGCACAACAGATTGTTGATACATTCCTATCTGCCCGCTGCCCCGGCATTCAAAAAGAGATAAGCAGGATGTCGAGGACTGGCTCTCTTCGTACAAATGAGTAAGCGTCAATAATAAGTGGGACGACAATGACAAACTTGGCCACATCCACTTTTACCTATGAAGGGTAGCGAAACTCTGGTTCAACAACCACGAAACTAAGCTTACTGATTAGGTGACTCTGAAAACCACCTTCGCAGACGCGTTTAGCGGACTGACCGTGCGCAAGCTTTGCACAGAACAGCCCTTGCGAGATCATGCCCAACTGTCTGGAGAGTGTTTCATGTCATATATTGAAAATGTCGTAGGCCTTTTTCATCGCTTCGATTCTGACATGTCCGAAACTGTCAAGGTCAAACACATCATGAAGTACATCGAGGGCAATGCCTTCCACATGCTCGTGGCGAAAGACCCAAAAACAGTTGCAAACGTTACTTATCATTGCAAAGGTTAAAACGAGTTGCGAAAACAGCCTATTTCAACGCGACACCCTACTTTCGAAACGACAAGAACGTCCGCATTAACCATTGGTGCCATTTCTCCAGAATCGACTGTATTGACGCAGCAAATCCAACAATTCATCCGAGAGGAAGTGGCACGCCAGTTGTCTTATGGGCTCTTGATCCCAAGCAATACTCATGGGCTCACCTCGTCGTTCCACCAAAGCATCAATGAGTACGTCTCCGAGGTGCTGCCGCCAATGTACCAGCCACAGCCTGTGTCCGCTCCCCTGACCTACGCTGACGTCGTGCGAAGGCAGGCACGTGGGCCGCCAAACGCCGCCGACCATGCTCACCTAACAAACACCTTCTACGCAATGCGCGCACCAACAGGTCCTCACATCCCCCTTTACCGCCATCTTTCAACGCTTCGCAACAACCCTTGGCGCACATCGAATAACAGACCTATCTGTTACTACTGTCATATGCCTGGCCATGTTGAACGATTCTGTCGCCGACACGTTTCTCGTTTAGGTACTGTTGATGAAACCTACAGCTATGCCCACACACAACCACTACAGATATTCCTTTCTCACGCCACTTCAAACACCCCTTTGTCGAGCAGCCGCACCTTCAACCCGCATCGATTGCCCTCCCCACACCGATTGCCCTGCCCACACAGACGTTCGCCTTTGCCGATGCTTTGTCATGCACCAGCTGCCCAAACTGAAAATTGACCATCGCAGTTCCAAAGGCAGAACTGCACCGCTGTTGAATTCTACAAGGCCTCATTCTCTTCCTACTAATGAAATAACTATTTGTTGAAGGTGTTGTCATTCGAGCATTAGTCGATACCGGAGCTGCTGTGTCTTACTGAGTGAAGCAATGTGTCGCATGTTACAAGTTACGAATCCATTTCTGGCCTCTCCCTGCGTATGGCAACCGTGCACCATGTAAACCCTTCTGTGACGTGCACGGCTTGGCTCTTCATTCAGGACATTCTGTACGTGGTTGAATCCATCATCTCTCTAGTTCGCACGACATCATATTGGGCTGGGACTCCCCTTTCTATACTTCACGCAGTTGTTGATTGTGCCTGGGCCAAACTACAATTATCATCGATCTCTGACGATTCTAACAAGCCTTCTTTTTCTCGTAGCGTAGTTGCTGCTAAAACAGATATCCCACCTATGTCTTCTGCTCTCGTGCTGATCTCTTGTGACCACGCTCCTTTTTTGAATGCCACGTTCATGTCGTCGGAAGACTTCGCTTCTGGAATGAACTTCCTTCTACCATTTGCTTTTGTGATGATTGAAAACTCTTGCACAACGATTTACGCCATGAATCTCCTTTCAGTACCAGCCACATTATTCCGTGGAGAATGTCTCTGCCGCCTTGAGGAAATTGATTGCGTTTGTGCCAGTCAACTGCCCGATCGTGCAACAAGCCTTCAGATAGCCAGTGTTACTCCCGCTACCATGTTCACCACATCTTCCCTAGATGCCTTCCTTGATATGATATGTGGGGTTTAACGTCCCAAAACCACCATATGATTATGCGAGACGTGGTAGTGGAGGGCTCCGTAAATTTCAACTACCTGGGGTTTTTTAACGTGCACCTAAATCTGAGAACACGAGCCTACAGCATTTCGCCTCCATCGAAAATGCACCCACCGCAGCCAGGATTCGATCCCGCAACCTACGGGTCAGCAGCCGAGTACCTTAGCCATTAGACTACCGCGACGGGACTACACACCTTCCTGCCATCAATGGATTTGGACACTCCTGTTGCTCAATGAACCCAACTCTTGATGCTTCTAGACCACTTCAGAACATCTTTAGACTTCAAACAAACCAATTTCGGCTGAACATCTCCAATTGTTCATCAAATTGACAGTGGCACCCACACACCATTGTTTCAGCGTCTATACCGGGTCTCTCACATTGAGCACCAAGTTATTGACGATCAGGTGACTGATATGCTCAATCGCGGCATCATACAGCCATCCAACAGTCCGTGGTACTCGTCAAAAAGAAGGACAGTAGCATCTGATTCTGTGTTGATTACAGGCGCCTTAACAATATCACGTGCACAGATGCTTATCCGCTCCCTAGAATCGACGACGCTCTCGACTGTTTGCAAAGAACAGAGTTCTTTACCTCGCTGGATCTTCGATCGGGATTCTGGCAGGTATCCATAGATGAAGCTGACTGCCCCAGGACTGTGTTTGCAACTTCGGGCAGCTTGTACGAGTTTAACGTGATGCCGTTCGGTTTTTGTAATGCCCCTGCCAGCTTCGAGTGCCTGACGGGCAATATACTTCAAAGCCTCAAATGGCAAACGTGCCTTTTCTATCCAAATGCTGTTCATAGTTTTTGTGAAAAACTTCAATACCCCCCTTCTGCACATAACAAGTGTCCTGGAATGCCTCAAACATGTGGAGCTCAAACTTAATTTGAAGTGTCATCTTGCCGCCAGGAAGCTCGCCATCATAGGGCATTTTGCCAGCAAGGATGGTGTTCTACCTGACCTTGCCAAACTCTGGGCGTTCCGTTTCCTAAGCCATCGACACTAAAGGAACTCCGGAGCTTTATTGACGTATGTTCAAACTTTGATCGATTTGTTTGTAATTTCGCATCCGTAATGGCTCCTTTAACATGCCTACTTTCTCACAGCCAAGGCATTTAGGCAGAGCCTTCCGCTTGGGAAGCCGCATTCGTGAAACTACGTAATCTGATTACATCTCCATCGATTCTCTGTCACTTTGATCCAGGTGCCCCTACCGAGATCCACACCGATGCTCGTGGAGTCGGCCTTGGCGCTATTCTTGCTCAACGCAAGTCTGGCTTCAACGAGTATGTCATTTCCTATGCCAGTTGCACTATTACTGGTTCTGAAGAGAACTATTCAGTCGCAGAAAAAGAATGTCTGGCCATCATTTGGGCAATCACAAAATTTCGACCCTAGGTATAGATGGTCGTCCATTTGATGTCGTGACTGATCATGTCCTCTGCTGGTTATCGTCACTAAAAGACCCATCTGGTTGTCTGGCTTGTTGGGCATTACATCTCCAGGACTTTGATATCCGCCTCGTCTACAGGTCAGGTCGCAGAGATTCACATGCCGATGCTCTTTCCCGCTCTCCACTTCCCCATGAATATGGAACTGCATCTCTTTCCAACTTCGATGCTGCGGCACTTTCATACAATGACATGCCTTCCGAGCAGCGTCAAGACGCTTGGATAGTCTCTATAATAGAGTTCTTGTCTCAGTCACCCCAAGGTACCGTCACTCGTTCACAGCGACGCACAGCTCGACATTTAACCAATTGTGATAGACTCCTGTACTGTTTCAACTACCTTTCTGACGGCCGCAACTGATTGCTAGGGATTCATCGCCACTTACGTGCAGATATCTGCGCTTCCTTTTACGTGGATCCCCGATGTGGCTACACTGGTGCAATAAAAACGTATGCACGCCTCTAACTACGGTACTACTGGCACGGCATGTAGTGCTTTATCCGACAGTATGTACGTTCTTGTTCTGAATGTCAATGCCAGAAGAGCGCACTACACAGTCAATGGACAACTGCAAACATTGCCTTGCCCCTCCCGGCCATTTGACTGCATCGGAATTGACTTGTACAGTCCCCTTCCCTGCACACCTAACGAGAACCGTTGGGTGATTGTCGCTATTTATCACTTGACACGCCATGTTGAAACTGCCATGCTGCCAGAGGCCACATCACGTGAAGTTGGCTTATTTATCCTCCACAATCCTGTTCTTTGCCATGGCGCACCTCGTAAGCTGCTCGGCGACCGCAGACGCACTTTCCTCTCTGAAACCGTGGAAGCCCTTCTTTGTGAATGCAATGTTGTGCATCGAAAAACGAGCACGTACAATCTGCAAACCAATGGATTGGCCAAGTGGTTTAACCAGGAGGCGGAAACTCCCTAAACCTCCCATGTAAGCACACTTGCATGCTGATACGCAGTGGCAGCGCCGCTTTTACCACTTGTGGCTGCCAGGCATCCAACTAGAAATAAGGAACAGAACATTTCATTCATGACGTCACTGGTGAGGTCACCAAACAGAGGAAAAGGACGAAAAACCGTAAAAAGAAGGGAGACCGTGGAAACCCTCCTTTCCCACTTCGCATGCTAGGGAAATGCACTCTTGCGTTCTTTCAGGTTCGCTGGCTACTTGAGTGATGTGGCCATTTGTGAAACTTCTTCAACTATTTTTTAAAAAAATTTGTTCGTGTGTTCTGAAGTGGCAATAATTAAGCTGACCGATTTTTCAGTAAAACGATACTTGACTGGGACAAATAAAATGAACTTTTTTATTACATGACATTTTGCACAAAAATAACAGACACATAATGTGAAAGTGTCAATTTATAAAGGCAGCTTTAATTTACAAATGACATATGGACATAATGAGCAAAAATGAACCCAACATATCCAAACCAATACGAATATTATTAACAATCACAAGTACGACACATCGCATTTCGCTCAATCACGTTTGTTATGACGGCACACATAGTTTTCTTGAGTACCAAACGAGACTGAAGTTCAGAGGCACGGAGAGGCTTGAAGTAATTAAATGTTTTTCAAGAGAGAACGTTTCTGGAAACAGTGTTTCAGCTTTCGGCAAGTTGACTTATCCTCGTCAGGGCAACTGCGTCACCTTGACGAAGACAAGTTCACTTATCAAAATGTCGACACCAGCAACATTCCCTGTAATGATTTTTAGAAGCATTTAGTCGATCACATGTATTTGAGTGACAGTATTTGAAGTAAAGACTTAAACCACAGCCACATGAATTTTATGAACAGTAAGGAGCTGATAATTGACGTTATTTGAACTACATGCCATAAGTAAAAGAAGCAAAAACTGTGTAACCAAGTCAACACAAATTAAAGCCTTTCATTAAATGCATTTTGCTGACAGCAGCTTTACTGCCAACTTAACCAATTAGTCTAGTGGCACTGCACTTCTGTCAGTCCAGTCTGGCTTGCCGAGAACTGGGTTTACTCATGCACTCATGCAAAATCAATATATGCTCAAATAATGAGTCTAAATACTTGTGCTCACCCATTACCACTAGGAAACCTGAAAAACCTTCGTGGAAATAGAAATCCCCGAGTTAACATACTGCTGGGCCGTGAAAAACATGTGTTGCCTGATTTGGCCATCTTTGTCCAATGCATGGTTGACTTGCTCGCATAGCTCACTGCGGCTTCCTCTCTTTGCCCGCCACAACTTGTCTTTATCTTTCTTATGGTTGGCACGCCAACCGAACGAGACAACTGAGCTCGATCCAACTTGTAATATCGCTGAGCGAGTGGCGAGAAGGAGCACGAACTCAAGTCAGCCACTTCCCGCGCTTCACCTCATTTAAAATTCGTAAAATATAAAATAAAAAAGACATACAGTCGAACACGATTATATCGAACCCACATATATCGAATTTTCGGGTATATCCAACTCGCAAGTTATCCCCTTGAAATTCCTTTGTAAAAGTATAGAAATTCGCACAATTATATCGAACGGTATTTTCACCCACCTTCGGATATATCGAACGCGGCGCGAGCTGGAAGGTGCGCTCCAACACTTGCCCCCACCCCCCGCGATCTCTGCGGCAGCGGGGCTCCGCGCGCGAGTTGAAAGGCGCGCTTTTGGCACTCGCAGCAGCGCCCAGCGACCTCCGTGCAGCGCCATGCCTCCGCTAGAACCCGAAACGCTCGAAAAAGGTAAGGGTGAGAGGGCTCAGACTGCGCAATCTCCAACTTACGGAACAGTTTTTTTTTTTTTCATTCCTTTTTTTCTCTCTCATGCTTCTCCGCGTATGCGTCGGCTCGGAGAGCAGGAATGAAGGAGCCGATGTCCTCCTCCTTTTGCCTTTTATTTTTTGTTGCTGTTTTGCAATGTTTGATCAGCCAAACACAGCTCCCGCCTTTTGCTGTTGCCCTCGCAAGTAGCCATCACCTTTGAGTGCTTTGGTGTTCTTGAGCTGTCGCATTGCCGACATACCACCGCATGTGCAGCGTTTCTCTTTTGCATGCGTGGAGTGCAAAGCCGCTGCGGACTCCTTGAATTGTTGACTTCTCGTGTAGCTATGGCCAGCGTCAAGAAGCGCAAGACCCTTGACTCTGCGATAAGTTGAAGGCTTTTCAGCGTGTTGAGACGAGCGAGAAATGCTCGACTGTCACGGACAACTTCAGGATACCACGGAGCACTCCGAGTACCTTGTTGAAAAACAAGGCAGATATCAAGGCTAATGCGGTGGGGCGAACGCCGGGAGCCTGACATGTGCGCGCTTCTTCCCACGGGAATGTAGAAAAGGTACTGCCTGGTTTCTAGAAGTGCGCGTGAAGAACATTCCGGTGAATGGCTCGATGCTGATCGCCAAGGCCAAATGGTTTGCCGCTGTACTCGGTGAAACAACTTTGCCGACAACAGCGGGTGGCTTCACCGATTTAAGCAACGCTACAACATCGTTGGCAAAACCATTTCTGACGAAAACGAAGCTGTCAGCAGTCAGGACATCTGGCAGTGGATGACGAAGGAGTGGCCGGAAATCTCTGCGAAGTTTTCTCCCGCGGAGATCTTCAATGCCTGGTGAGACGTGAAGAGGACACAGTGGACAACTGCTTTCGCAAGGCAGGCTTGGAGACTGCAGAACTTGCGGAAACCAGTGATGATGACGACGAGCGCATAATGATTGATTAATATGTGGGGTTTAACGTCCCAAAACCACCATATGATTATGAGAGACGCCGTAGTGGAGGGCTCCGGAAATTTAGACCACCTGGGGTTCTTTAACGTGCACCCAAATCTGAGCACACGGGCCTACAACATTTCCGCCTCCATCGGAAATGCAGCCGCCGCAGCCGGGATTAGAACCCGCGACCTGCGGGTCAGCAGCCGAGTACCTTAGCCACTAGACCACCAAGGCGGGGCACGACGAGCGCATAGACGACACGTTTCGCGAGTTGTGATAAGATCTAGACTAGCGTCTTCAACATTTCAAGAATGAAGAAGCAGGCCGAGGTTAGCGATTTTTTTTTTTCATGCAAATAAATGATTATGTTGCGGTGTGTGTGCGGAATTAGTTGTCATTCATCAATGCACCTATTGTAGGTGATGATCCACTACAAATAAGCTCTCGGGGCCTATATTTTTTATATCGAATTTTTTATTACGTAATTAATTCGCGATCCCCTTCGAGTTCAATATATCCGTGTTTGACTGTATAAATAAAAGAGAAGTTCTTTACAGAGGTCTACTAACCACACCAATTGGGACCGCATACTACCCTTTGTTACCTGTGCTTACAACAGCGACACTCAGTCTATGCCAGGATTATCTCCATTCTTCCTTCTCTACGGGCGCGAACCTTCCTCATTGATGGACACCATTCTTTTGTATCATCTGGACGCTTCTAGATCCACTACTCTATCTGAAGTCGCCACTTTACGGAAGAAAGCAGGCAACTTGCACGTTCCTTAACCAGACAAGATCAAGCGTACCAGAAGGACAGTCGCAACGAAAACCTGCCTTCCCAGTCATATTCGTCTGGAACTTTGGTATGACTTCGCACTTCCTCATGTGCTCCTGGCCTTTCCACAAAGCTACTGCCGAAATACTAAAGCCCCTACCGAGTCCTACGTCAAGCTTCCCCAGTCAACTATATTGTTGAGCCGGTGTCAAACATTGACAGACCGACACTGTCGCGGCCGCGAGACTGTTCATGTCAATCGATTGAAGCCACACTACGACCAACCCGTCATACCCATTCCATAGGTCGCCAGGCTGGCTCCTTTTCTTTGGGGGAGTCATTTGTAGCATGAATATATGGCACAGGCAGGAACCCCAACAGAAGAAGAGAAGGAAGACTGTCGCTGCTCGCCCCGCTTGACAACTGGTCGATTTACCTTAACTATTCCTTTAATAAACGTCTCTCCGACTCACTGCTAAAGGCATGCTATGAATATCTACATTCGAACCCCCGCACAATGAGCTTACATTTGGAAAAACAAAGACATAAAAACATGATCCTTTTCTCTGAAGTTTTGCCTCCTAGTTTATACATTAACACCTGGGAAATTTTGTGGGAATTTGTGGACCTTTCAACAGCTGCACACCACAGACAGTGAAACAACTAGTTTCAATAAAGAAACTTTTTTTTCATGCTGTTGTTTATTATTTAGTCTCTCGCACATCATGATATTTCTGAGTAGATGCAACAAAGACACTTGTTTGCTGTTTGTATTTATTTAGATTGAAATGTGTACACGGACACATGCTATTCAATCATATTGGGGCAGCAACAGCCACACAAATCTCTGTACTTGGTCCACAATCTTTTGCTTAATATCCACTTGCTTTTATACAGACTTTGCACTGCATAAACATGTATTTATCTTGTTCATAAGCTTCTCAGCTACCAATACACCCATACTTTTTATTCAATTGCTGCCATTGCATGGTAATGCAGGATTCTGCCATGAAAGAAGAACAGTACTGCTGCTCTGAGAAGAATGCATGTTCATGGCAGATTTGCAGTCTCCATATAAACAACGAATCAATGCCAGTCATAGGGACACCACATTCTAGTTTCATGGGTATCACAAGTGCCATTACACTGCATAACATCTCTATACAAGATGTGACAAAGCAGAACTTCAGTGACATAGTAGTGAATAGTAAGCTGATAACTTCTATAAATGCCCTTCCTACATTATATGGCAGTGCAATTAAGAAACCTACAGTATTTGAGGCATTCGTAAGTACTGTAAGCATTCTAGACAGGAGGACCATTTGACAAAGTTGATGCTCGTCAGATTTCTCATTTGCTCTTCTTCAAGCAAGACAACAGAGACACAGTGGTAGTGTTGTAAACATGATACTTGGGTACATAATTTGGGTGCATGCTCAAAATCTAAACGGCTCAAAATGATTACAAAGTTGCACACTACCCTCATGCAAAGTAATGACCTTGGGCACAAAACCAGGATCGATGATGAATAGACTAACCTTGTTGGTGCTGACCTCCCATACCCTGTGGGGGGAACACGCCCTCCACTCAAGTAAGGGAAATGCTTCACATCAAGCTTGTCCTCAATGGCGTCCTGCAAGAGCACATGAAAAATAAAAATATTGTGTTTTGGGACAAAGGTTAGGCCTTCACAAAAGAGAACTCCACCCGTGAGCAGAAACACTGATGAAGATAATGCTTAAGAAGATGGCTGTGCCTGCAGAGGGAGCCTGCTCTGGCACAGTAAAAGGGTTCAGATTTGTGAAATTGCAAGCAGACTTTCTTTTAACTACCCGATAGGTGCTCTCTTGTCATCACAAAAAACGCAACGCCTGAAATCTTAATATTTTATTACACACATTTCATCAACCGTACTATGCCTGTTTTAATGCAAAAGCCATTAAACCTCCGACGAAGTCTGCCATTGTCGGACAGTAAGCCCGGCCAGAGAGAGGCGACTCAAACTAACACTTTAAAACTGCACATACTATTTATAGGCTAGCTCAGCTGTCATAAGAAAAAACTGAGTCTGCGTGAACTTGAATAGCAAAACCATGATAAATGTTCGTGTACCAACTGCACATTGTGAATATGTGCAACACATTAGTAATAGAATGAAAAATACTGAAACGAAGATGCGCGAGCCTACGGGGCGCGGAGATGGGGATCGCTGTTGGCGTGCGGGTGGTGGGGTAACGCTGCGGTCGGAGCAAGGTGAGTCAGCACGTGCTGCGTTTTGCTGTTGGAAAGAGCCCTGAAATGGTCAAGACTCGCCAGCAGGTACATAGGGCGTGTACACGTTGAATCGTGGAGCTCGCTGCTGGCGACGGTAGCAGTACCTAGCGATGTGTCCAGGTAGCCCACAGTTGTAGCAAGTACGGGTGTCGCGTCTAGTTGTCCCCGGCAAAGTAAACCTCGTCGGTTGATAAAAGCCGGGCGATGGTGGTCGAGGAGTAAATCGCTGTGACGCAGCTTGCCTGCGTTCCTGGTTTTCGAGTGGTCGTTCAGTCCTTCGTTCGAACCGATCGGTGTAATTCGGGCGAGGCTTAAAGTAGCTCTGTCGCATCCGAGGTACCAGTGGTTCACGGGGCCGTTGGTCGAATGCACACTGATGGCAGACACCAGCGGTGTCCACAGCTTGCAGTTGAGCAAGTTCTTCCTTAACCACTCGTCTTATAAGAGAAGAAATGTCGTCCTGCAATGGAAGGTTGACACTTGCAATCGTGGGCACATTCTCAAGACGTCCGAATTTCGGTAGGACTCTCCTCCTCTTTAGCGCTTCAAACGCTCGGCAGTGTCTCCTTAGGTCGGAAGGTGTGTGTAAGTCTTCCTTAGTGATAAGGAAATTGCACACGTCTTCCGCGATTCCCTTGAGCAGATGACCTACCTCATCTTCGTCACACATGGTCGCACTCACGATTCTGCAAAGCTTCAAGACGGCCTCGATGTAGGTGGTGCATGTTTCACCAGGTAACTGAGCTCTGCGTGAAAGCGTTTGCTCCGCCTGCTTGACCTTAGCTGTTGAGTCACCAAAACACCTCTTCAGCTCGTCCACGAAAATGTCCCATGTGGCCAATGCACTCTCATGGTTGTCGAACCAAAGAGACGTGGTGCCGACGAGAAAAAACACCACGTTCTCGAGCTGCTTAGCAGTGCTCCAGCGGTTGCTGCGACTCACTCTTTGGTAGTGCTTGAGCCAGTCGTCAATATCGTCATCCGGCTGCCCCGAAAAGGTCCTCGGCTGACGTTCCGGCATGCCGCAGCGATCTTGTCCTGGCGGGCGAGCGTGTTGCTCATCAGCAACGAGGTTGTTATGGCCTGCTCCCGCGTCCTCCATGTCTGGTAGCTGCGGTGGCAAGCCTTCCTGTGGTATTGCACATGGTATTCTTCCCGTGGTATAGCACGTATATACATAATAGTAGCTCTTCCAAGCCAGATGTATTGATATTTTTCGTAAAGACATTAACCCAGCATGCAGATACCATTCTAGGGAAAGGCTGAACAATATATTTAGAGCAGCAGTCCATTACACTATCCAATATTTTTAATGCTCCAAGTGCAACAATTTTTTTTTACTGTTTCTTGCGTATACAAGAAACTATAGTCTTTTTGAAACACTACAATACACACATGCTTTACTAGCAGCACTCCTGTGCCATCAGTTACCTCTTGCATTTATTTCAGCCTTCACAGAACAAATACTACCTTACCTTAGCACACGCCTTTTGACTATGCAATTAAAATTCTAACTGCATGCTCAGATGCTCACACTGCAATTTTAGTTCTGTCTTTCAGACCCAAGAATTATTTCTTTTCAAAACACTGGTTCTCTCGAAAAAGGGAGAATGCCTCAGCCATGTGGGGTCCATCCCAGTCTTGAACAACTCTTAGTTTCAATTACACATAACGTTGTACTACTTGCTTCATTGGTTTTCACATTGGGCCAGTCTAACATGCATTACATGAATGCATGTTACATGTAGCATCTAACATGCATGCATGACATGCATTAAAAGTACCCTTAATTAACCAAATTTTTCATAACAATGCAGTGTTCCTGTCTCTGTCTTCTTTTATAAACCTTTTTTCCTATCAACTCAATTATAACAGATAGCCGTATTTGTCTCTCCATCCTGCAGGACCACGGCTCAAAGTTTGGGGTGCCGGTGTGACATACAATTCTTTTTGACTCCTTCAAACCTTGGATAAGCATAAACAGTATCGCATTTCTGCATCGGTTGCTCACATCACCGACACAAACACTTCTTAGACCTCTGTAAAGAAAGCTCTTTGTTTGTCAACAGCGTCATGTCTGTTTTCTCCCTACTTCTCTTTGTAATATATTAAGACCTGAAAGTGTGCACAATTAACAAATCAAATGTTTGACTCTAACCTCCATGATGTCCTTCAAGACGGGAGTCCAGCGAGACATCTGGTAGGTCTGTTCGGTTATGCGCTCTTTTCTGGGAACATGGTAGACTTTCTTGCGGCTTCCCTGCAATGGCACACACCGCAAATTACGTCTAATGTAAAGGTGTAAGGCAGTAATATGCAGAACGAACACTATCCGCGGTGCACCCAAAAGTACATGCCATTTCAGAGGCAACCTGTGCTCCAGCTGCTTGCCAGCTTCCCCCAAAACCCTTTTTTAATGCATGCAGTGTCATAATGCTTCCATTTCAGTGCTAGTATCTCCCCCCTTATTAGTACCAGAAGAAATTTGGCCTGCAGGTTAGCACAGTGTAGGGTAAGCAAAGAAGCTGTTGTTACCTATCAGCTATTCTTTAGCATAAAGTTATATTGTATATTTAACTTGCACAGCAACTCATCAAACTGCATTTACAAAATGTAAGACAATCAGGGCTTCCATTCCAAACTTCCTTGAAACACAAGGTTCACAAACATTTGAGTGATTGTATGCTAATAGAGATCACAAAAATGACTGAAAACTAGAAGCCGTAAAAGAGAGTGATCAAGCCCACCACATACATAAATGTTCATAAAAAATTGGCCCATGCGAATGCAAATAAATTATAAGTACGACAATGGCACGCAATGAACTATTCTGCACATTTTATATTTCTTGGCAACTGACCGATTCCTTGAGCTGAAATAGCAATGCAGATGTACAAATCATCTTTGCATTCGATATATTAGGAAGTAAATTCTAGCAACAGTCTATTCGGAAAATGAATAATGCTACTGTTGGTAGAAATGCTGTGCCTGAGACCATACTCTTATTAGAGTGAACGAATAGCTCAGTTGCACTGATGGGTGTTGATGCCCTAACTTAGAGTGCACACTACAACCTCAAAGATTCAGCAATTGAATCTTGAAGATATGCGACCATACAAGTGTGCAAAGGCAGCACCGCCATTTGAACCTACAGCAACTTTGTAGGAGCTATAGCCAGAGAAAAAAAAAAAAAATTCACAGCTCCTGTTATTTACACGCAATATTTCTTTGTGAATCTTCTACCCGCAAAATGTTTTATCCCATTACGAGGCACTCAGTAGTATTAATGCGAGACTGCCGCTTTGACAACTTTCAGTAAAGAGGCCATGCAGCCAAGTGTAAATGGTGACAAAGTGTTAATTTAATGGCACTTCGTGATGGCTGAATCAGTCCTACTAAGCTTGTTGCTCCAACCAATCAAAGAACACAGCTAAAAGACTTTACATCAAGCAATAGAGCCCCTGATACTATAGACTGATAAAGAAGTACATTGGAAGCCATGATTGTCTTACAGTACATTTCAAACAAAGCAGTCAGGCTACCTATTCTAAAAAAAAAAAAAAGAGGCAGTGTACAGTGTACCATATCAGTGACAGCTAAAAACCTGCAAACTACAATGGCCAGACCCATCAAAGTGCACTACGCCAGTAAAAATCACCATCACCATTGAATGCATATGAAAGGGAAGATCAAAAGACGTCAAACAATGTGAGTAGGTGCTCTTTGTAAAATGTGCACACCAGAACACCACAAAAAAAAAAAAAAAAAAAAAAAAGGGGGGCACCACAAATAAGACAGCACTACTCTGGCCAGGGGTCTCAACTTGTGCTGGTGTGCAGGTGATTGCAGAAATAAGGGTCAGTGCACCCACACAACCAAGGCTCAGATAAGGCAAAGTAAACACTTTCCCTGTTCATCAGACATCATCAAATCAAGCAGAAAAAATCAATGACAGCATCCTCAAAATTCCCCACGATGAACTAAAGGCATACCTGGTGACCTTGTATGCCACTACACCAAGCCAGAACACTCACAACTGTATTTAAAATCTTAGCTGTTCAATTCTCGGAGTGAAAGAGTAGACTCACAGTCTCTTGTACTAACGAGAAAGTTCATTATACGAACGTGCAAGTGATATTTCACACTGTTGCTCTTTTTTCTTTTCCACTCTGAAACTATCCATACCTATCAAAAACAAAATATTTGAAATGCTAATTGTTTTTGTGATTAAAGAAGCAATGTGTTCTTATACCATTTTCAGCATGCTCACTGTTGCAATCAATTAAAAGAAGCATCAGTGAAACTATCAGCCTGGACACTTAGAAGGGAAACTGAACTGGTTTTAACCAGTTCGTTTAATCACACTATGTTCATGGCGTGGGTATGTAAGGGCAATAATGCTAGTGTCCGAGTAAACCAGCTTGACATCAATATGGGAAAGAACAAAATGGCTGTGTCTTATTTGCCAACTTTCATGTGGACTAGAACACAAAAAGTCATTGCCATAACTGCTAACCCGTTAACTTTAAAATTTGCAAAAATCCTGTAAATATGTCAAGAGAAACTTTCAATAAAGGAATTTGCTCACTGTCTTCTAAAGTCTTATGCTACTGGCATGCCTCTTAACTAAAAGTAAGTTGTTTACTACTAAGAATTCCAAGAAGTCCAGCCTTTCACTGACTTAGAGGTTTGCATTAATGACAAAGCTAGTAACAAACATTCATTTGGATTAATATAAAAGTTTTTTCATCTTCAACTACGCACATAAAAAAATAAAACTTACATAATGTAAAGAATTTACCAAAGAAGAATAAATTGCTTATTTTAATTTGATGAGCAATGAAACAGCCTTAAACATTCAGTTTATGATATGCACTGCCACGAGAAATTACGCTTGTATAAAATTCCTGCTCTTCTTTTATTAAACAGCCATAAAAAAAAAAACATGTCTCATAATGAAGCACCAAAATTTCCACCTTGACCTTCCTAGGCCCTCTGCAATAAACTTCACAGGCCAGACGTTCTAGACCCCTGGCCAGGAAAGCAGATTACCACTGCCACCTACAATCACAAAGCAGCACTGAAGACGTCTACATAGCACGCTGAGAGAAGACCAAACCACCAACTACCAAGGAATACATGGGGAAGACTCTCTACACTGGAGGACAACAGGACACTTCCCGCAATGCAGACACGCATTATGAAGGTAACAGTGAAGCGGAGTAGAGGCGGGCAAGGGTGGATGGAGTTTTTGTGCCTTGTGATGTGTGCTGGCAGACATCACACACAGGGCACCCCCCGGTGACAGGCAGCGCGCAGAGAAACAGAGCAAGCATGTGGCCCAATTCGTCCCCACCACGAAAAAAGAGAGAGGAACAAAAAAAGTGGTGACGTACTAGTCCCAGAACTTCATTGGTAAACTGTTGAGATAACAGTAGTGGGGTGTGCGAGTTGAACGGCGGCAGTTTCTCAAGCTCTCGCTGCTGTAAACAAAACTGCACACATGTGGTCAGGCGCTCGGGGCTCTTGCTTGTTTAACAGCGACATAGTACACGTGCACGTTTTGCTTATGCATTATGTCAAACCAATACAGATACAGGGAATAGCCTTGCTCCTATGGAACGGAAAAATGGTGATGAACATCACAGCCTTTACAAAATTAAGAATGGCGGTGACACCGTTAAACGGGCACAGACAGAAAGCATGGCACACATGCACGAAAAGCTTGTCACCCTGATATTAACAACCACAAAATTTATCAGATAATGACAAGATTCTGTCGGATATATGTAATAAACTAACTCCAGCAACTCTGTCTATACTTGTCTAGAGCACTTAAATGACACATTTAGGGAAGCAATAGTGACATACAAGAGACTAGAGACTTGTAGCTTGGCCAGTGAATTTACTACTGCCTGAACAGCATCTCACACCAACAGTGATTTATCCCCAGCAAAGTGCTGACAAAGCTCAACACAGCAACAGATTGTTGGTGAACTCTTGACGATTCTATGACTGCCACTGTTGTGTGGCCTTGTCTAGAGGGCAAGAACAGTATGCACTGAAACAATTTCACATCCTCTGTACTTAGGTTGCCAGGATGAGACAGTATTAATTTTTCAAGTTCTACATAAGTGCCAGGGCTGAACTATACTAGCACTCTAAATTGTGCAGCAGAGATGGCCATTGCAGTGAGAGCTCATACCTTCAGACTGCAGCCCAATCATTAACACTTGTCTGGCATGAAATGGAGGTGAATAAAATGTTAAATCGTGGAAGGCACTTCGGAAAGTTAGGTGACAGTAGCATTTGACTGTCTAATCATCTGGCAAAACAAGTTGAAAATCAATACACTCTACAAAAACAGAGCAAACACATTCCAAAGACTGCATGTTTTTTTACATTGTAATGTAATTTTTTTACATCCTCTAGACAGACAAAACCAAGATTTCATAATTTTTTTTAAAGCAACCTAGCAAATATTTTACAGAGTATGTGCATTCTATTCAAACACAAACCTTCTGTCTGTGCCCTTTAATAGTATTGATTTTTCTTTCTCTAAGGATTTCTAGTTTTCACATGAAGAATACACTTGAGAAATTATGTGAAGCAGTGAAAATTAAAGAAAGGCTTGCTTTTATTGTGTGCACAAATTGAGGAAGCTTGAACATATCTAGAGTCTGTCAGTGTGAAACAACTCACACAAAACATGGCTGTTTGCATCCAAGAGGTTGCAAAATATAGCCTCAATACCTTCATAATAATGAAAGTTCCATTTAAATTATTGTACTACTTGGAACTTTTCATAGTTCTGTTTGAAGTGCAGGAATTTTGGAGTGAGTTATATAAACAGAAATGCTAACTAGCCTCCATTAACTACAAAGTGAAAAAAGGGAAACTTGTACAGAACTGTATGAGATGGCAAACAATAGCCCTCTGCTTCTCCTTGCACCAATCTGGACATGCAAGGAGCACTGTGACAATAGCTATACATCTGCAAAGCCAATGTGCCTGTAGAGGCCACTAACAGCTTCACGCACGCTGGGCCCTGCCGCTTACGAGCTCCACGCCCACCTTATGAAATCACAGCTGCACAGCGCTGTAATGCTCAAATTGGTGGCCAAGGCCCCAAGGGAAATTTCATGCTGCATGCTGCAAGCACTACGGTCCCTGGAGCAGTTTAAGTCTCCAAAATGTAGGAGTCTACATTTGACTTCAATGGTGCTACAAAAAAGGCCTTGCATTTGGCAAAGCCCCTCAGAAAACACCAGTGATTTTGCTGACATAAACCATTCTTTGCTTGCTTTACAGCAAAGAGGGTCTGCAGACCACTGGCCACTGACCACATGAAAGAAACGACCGCCCGACACTACTTTTGTCTTCCTTTCTTCTGCAGTCATGTCATGTCGCCTCTGCCAAACATATCTTCCCCATTGAAATGCACAGATCATGAGTTTTCTTGGCTGATGGAGCTAATGTTGATTCATTGATATGTGAGGATGAACGTCCGAAAGCCACTATATGATTACGAGAAACATCGTAGTGGAGGGCTCCAGAAATTTAGAATACGTGGGGTTCTTTAACGTGCACCCAAATCTGAGCACACGGGCCTACAGCATTTTCGCCTGACAGACTATGCCTTTTCTGCTAACGATTAGTACATAATTACCTTACTTGAGTGAAAATGAAGATGTTTTCCTCTCTCTTTCTGCTCTTTTTTTTTCAACCTGCTTATAACAATTACTTGTTATAATGATGCTATTTCCTTGGAACTTGGACATCGTTGTAAGTGGACTGCACGTTACTGCACTTCAGGCTTAACTCCTTGCTTGAAAGCATCTACAAAAGCAGTGCTGTTCCAAGAACATTAATATTTACAGTGAACGAGAAGTGATTGCATCATCGTTGAAGAAACAGACTTGCAGGAGCGCAGTGTTTAATGTGTCAGTGAATTTATTGGTGAATGGTCTTGATATACACATTGTACAATGCTATATTTCAATGCTAGAATTTTGAAGAGGATTTTGCAACTGCTTGGTATTGACAATATTATACCGAAGTTCTGCTGTATTATCAAAAATTTCAAGCTTGCTGGATGTTGGTTTTTACAAAAGGCAAAATCTGCTCACAATAATGCTGCATTACATGTTTCTAATCCAAAATACTCTAGCGATACACCAAAGCCAAGGCTTGGCAACATAGTCCTCACTGTCACAAAAAACAGCAGTGAGAAAATCCCAAATAACCTCTGACAAAATAGCCCAAGCTCAACAGCTCGGCTGGCTACCTGTCCATGTACTCATTCTCACCGCAACGGGCGATGACGTGGTGGTGAGTAGTAAAATTTACCTATACTTTGTGGCAAATGCCTTTTAATGGCGATAGTTTTTGAACACAGCCACACATTATCAGTGGCACATACCCGTTAGTTTCTCGGCAGTGCTACACACTTTACACCAAGCTAAAACAGCTTGGCTGTTAAAAGTGTCACAGGGCCCCCTTTAATGCAACCAATAAAAGCTAAGGAAGCCAACGTGTGTTTCAAGTCACTCTGTATGACTGATTCACTGTCATCAAGGCATGATGCAACATGGCTACATACAAATTACAGTGGCTTGTGCTAAACCAGCGAAAAATACTTTTGTGGGAACTAACTCGTCATTACAACTGATAAGAATGTAATGAACACCGATTAGGAAAGCTTCTAACCAACACGGCCCCTGTTTTACAACATATCACACAAGAAACCTGTTTTATAGTATTACAGTCATGCAATAGAGAACACACTCATATTAACAGCACAGCATTAAAAACATCAAATATAACGAAACATCAAATATAACGAAAGAACATTGAAAACAGCTAACAATATTGTTAAGGTCATGTAAAAAAAACCTTGACACATAGACCTCAAACAGCCTCACACTCCAATTCCATACATGGAGGTCATCCGGACATTATATTCTTTGAAAGAAGAACAGTATACCGCTACTTTGACATTTTTGCCTTACTATATCTAGTGCTACATAAGTGTTGAGTCTGGCAACAAAATAAACATTGCATACACATTCAAAGAGCACCACATTCACAAAGCAATTTTTTGAAATAAGAGACAGAATACTTTAAAACTGGTCTAAGTGCACTGCACCAACTCCTAGTGAAGGGAAGACTTACATCGGTCACAATGTTAACCCCAATATGTGCCATGTTGGTGATGATGCACTTTTCTGTAGCTGGTATCTGAGCATGTTGAATCAGTTTAGTCAGGTTCTCCTCAGAGATACCTACACAGAGTCATGAAAGCACATGTCATTTCTACAAAATATTGGCACTAATTCGCAATGTATAAATTCATGCTACTGCAAGATTCACACATGTATGCTCAATAAAGCACAACAAAATAAATTTGCAGCTAAAAGTGTCTGACTTTGGTTTTTCACAGATGCTTAATTACCATTTAAACACTAGAGCCCTCCCCTTGCCACTAAGGCTACAGTGATACCGTTTGCTGCATTGCCAGCCCAAGCTTTTGTTGGTGTAGGAGGCACCAGGTCACTTACTACTAGCCCGAGCCCAGTATGTTTTTTTCCTTTTCAGTACACCACAGTAAAGTTGGATTTATTATATTGGAAAGCTGCTTTACAATGAACATGAATATCTATAGGCTGCTACATCAACAATAAAAATATAAACCCATAGTTTGGTGATAAGGAGAGATGTAGGTTTCACATTCACCCCAGTGAAGGAGTCAGGGTAGGTTAAAGGGACACTGAAGAGATCTTAAACTTGCGAATTTATGGTAAATTCGGTATCCGCGACCTCTTACAACATGTCTACAGAGGCTTTTTAGCGACGTTCGTATAAACAACAGTGCTATAAATGAGCAAACTTTGGCCAAAAGAAAAAAATTACAACTGGCACCATTAATTTGTTTTCCCCATGCTACCACCACAAGATCTTATGGGCATGATTTCTATATGTGATACTGCAAACATAATGGCAAAAATAACAAAAATTATGACATGCGAACTCAGCACCATGGTGCAACATTGCCCATTCTTAACAAACAGCCCTGCACCAGTTAGACCTAGGCAGCACTACTGTGATAAAATGTCGCAGCTGGCCAAGCGGCTGTCATTGGAAGTTCGCCATCAACATGTTTATACCAGCAGATATGATTGGCAATTGAGCCTGAAATTTATTCCCAAGCTAGATCAATTGCCATAGTTTCCAAGCTTGGATACACATTCAGCACCTTAGTGATAAAAAAAGTGAGTGGCAATTTTATGAAAGCAACTCGAAATGACACATTTCAAGGCGCATGCATGTTTATGTTGGCAGGTTTGCTTGGTTATATTGCAACAAGCGTGCTCAAATACTAGTCCCATGTGACAACAGAGGTAAAAAGGATGCAATGGTGCAAAAAGCATGCAAAGTAAAACCTTGTTCATAAATTTTGAAAAAAAAAAAAAAAACTCTTAAACAAAACATACTAGTACATATTTGAGAGGTTTAGATACTCATGAAGTTTTACGCAGTAACACTTCATGTGCATGCATTTATATCTCATAGGCAAAGCATGCACTAGTGCGGCAGTTCGCGCCATGAAGTTGAGCGACTACCGGGACAATGTTGTAAGCTGCTATATGGTAGCTACAGATTGTTTCTCTGGCTCTGCCGAAGTGCTCCCACATGACACACAAGGCTAGCCAAACACAAGCTCTAATGAAGGTGCCAAGCAAACATGCATTGGCCACATGGTATAGGCAGTACCACGGTGTATGTGCACTTTGGCCCTTTCTAGCAAAATTTGACAGGCTCACCGTTTTTAGATAAAATGTACAGCAGGATGATGCGTATCTTGTCAAAATTGGACACACTTGTGTCCAGCAGGATGGGCACGATATTGCGCATTGGGTCCTTGATCTTCTCACCCTCAGCATCCGTGCCCATAGCCAGGTCCTGCAGTCAGTTCAGCGAAGCATAAACGTGACACACCAATTTCATGCATGTAGTAATAAAAAAAAGAAAGGCTATATAAATTCTGAAATAAGCTATCGCCAAGACTGCAACAGTGTTGCCATTGTGATGCTTCAATATCCAAAGCCTTCCCTGGTGCTCCCGAGTACCACATAGGCAGTGTTTATGCTGCATGCAAGCCTTTAACTAGCACATGACCCCATATGCAATTCAACTGCAAAACTCATTGACGGTATCAATTCATTTAATTTCACTTTTGTCTCAGTATTCATAGCGTGCTCTGCTCGAGCTACTTTTACAAATGGTCAGACATTCATACAGCGAATTTCATTACATGTTAGGAGTAAACACTAGCGTCATTGCTTGTTTCTGTATTTTGTTTCCCAAGGGTAGTAAAGTCAGTCAAGCAGGTTTTATGCGGCTTTCCCCCTGCTTTGCACACCAGTGTGTGATTCTGGCTTGTACTGCTAAAATAACTTTAATCTTCAAACAGCCAGACTGAGAGCAAATTTAATGTCTGCACGTGCATCATTCATTAAAGCAGCACAAAGCAGATCACAGCTTTATTTACCACTGAACTGACTGAACAGAACAGGACTGCATTGTTTGTAGGTTGCTTGGCAGATAGGTTGACCAAGCCTGACTCATGTCTTAGAAATATGAATAGTCTTATAACCAATAGAACACAAATATAGTTCTTTAAAGCACCCAAATCCCTTGAATATAAGCGGGACTCACCTTAAGCTACATTCAACTATAGAAAGGCTAGTGATAATTTAACTGTATGTAAAAACAATAATGGCCACCTTACCTGTTCAACCTTTGCAGAGTCGGTCAACATAACCCTGGTAACACTTCATGCAGTCCTCAGCAAGGTGCAGCTGTGTGGAGTACTTGTTCAACTCCTTCTGGTACTGTGGCATCTTCTTGATCATCGTTGTCAGATCCTTCAGACTCGACTTGTCGCCACTAGATGTCATGCGCTTGCTCTCAATGAACTTCTTCAGCTGCTTCGTTACAGCCCTGCACACCACGCCATGTGCACAGTTCCATGAGCTTGCAGCCACCCTTTCACTATAAAACTGGTACACACTGCAATGTTTAGCCGCAGGCTCTAATGGTCTTACTAAATGAACCTCTTATACTCGTGTATCATACAGCCTTCATGTAATACATCATGCGTCCACTGGACTTTTGAGACGTGGAACCTATGCTCCTTATTCATCACATGTAGCGGTACCTCTCCTCCATTTTTTAATTATTTGTTTTTTTAGATGCAAAATGGAGTATGTATAATATTATCCCACAGAGATAGAAATTTTTTAAGTACCAATTTTTATGGCCATGCCTTGTCAACCACAACACACAAAAACAATAATACTAATAAGGCTGCCTCTGCCTGCATGTCCCTCCTGTAAGATACACTTCTGATCGTTTTGGTAACCAGTGAAGCAGATGTCGAAGGTAAAATCCTCGAGGTATATTCGATCAAGAACATGCACAATACCAAATAAAAGAGGCCGTTCACAATGGCTATACTACACTCGACCTCAATATAACGAACGTCTACATAATTAAATATCGGTTATAATGAAGTATATGACAAATACTCTTGCAATAGATAGTGTTATAAATATATTTTCACAACCAATTTTTGAATATAATGAACTTATTTTCGTGTAACATGCAACTTTGTCATAATGAGGTTTGAGTGTACTTGAAAACTACTGTAAAATTACAAAAAAGGCATCTTTACTGGTGCAACCACCATACTGTCATACATACTGTGAGACAACAGCAATGTGCTGGTGACGCAGCTCAACCCATAGGTCATCCTTCTCATCCAGAAGGACCTCCTTCTCACGCACGTCGTTGCCACTAGTAGACTCGAACTTGTAGACATCGTTTTCAATGGGCAGCAAATCGTAGGCCATGGCCTGGAAGGTCAGCTCGTGCAGCAGCGGGGATACACAATCGAAACCTCGGTCAAGTATTATCAGTTGCGAGCGCATCTTCTCGGGTCCCTGCATCAATGATTGCACTACAGCTACAGGTTGGTTCAATGCTACTGGTGCAAGGCAGTACAAGACGCTACCAACATGGTGAAATATGCTGAAATACTGGGTTTACAGTCATATGACCTGTACGTGACAAGTCATATGCATATTTGCTTTTTGTATACAGAGAGGCGAGCAAACAGCTGGTATATTTTTTTTTTTGGCAGCTGCCACACAAAGGTGCAATATGTCATGCATGAAGCCATATTGAACTCAACATGGCAAATTCGGCCATTTGACGCATTTGCAATTTTACATAATTCGTGCATGTCGCGTGATCTACATTGTGCATCTCATCGAGTTCACGTGTGCACTTCTGGAGATCAGAAACACATGCATGGTGCATGCCAAAAAAAAAAAATGGTCATGAAACACTCATCAATAACACAGGAATGCTGCAGCAGTTCATATATGGTAAGTTGTATCCCAACGACAAAAGTTATTTTTCGTCATCTAACCACAGTTAGAGACAGGATCAGATTGGTGCTCTGGCCAGCATAGAAGCTATACCGTATTTACGCGCATAATTTGCACAATTTTCTTCACAATTCTGGGGCTTCAGAAAGAGGTACCCAAATTATGCGTGGCTTTTGCGAACGCATACGAAATATAATGCAATAATGTGCAATATACATTAAAGAAATTAAAATAAATTGGAGCACCAACCAAGTGTACTTGTTTATTTAACAGCATTAGCATGTACTTTAACCACTCAGACCTGGTCGCGCGCGATACGTCCAGTCGGAATCGCTAATACAAAAGTCCGATTGGTCGAAAATCATCGTCGCAGCCGCTGCCACCGCCCTATCAAAGCGCATCACCCTTGATTCTGTCCAGCCCATTCGAATGTCTCATTTTCTTGAAGCTCTTCTCAACAAGGCTGGGAGAAACTAGGTCCCCTAACACGGCTATACTGGAGAACCTAACATAATTGAAAAGTCCTTCTTCCACGGCCAGGAACTTTTTTCAGCAAGCACGCACTTTCTTTCTTTCAGATCGATCGCACCGATCGTCACAGGTTGGAAAACTTCACTCTGAAGTGCTTGGCGGTAGCACGATTCCTGTTTTCTTCAGCAAACGTCATAATTGCGAGCTTGAATTTTGACTTATATATTATTACTGTAGCCTATCGCAAGAGAACAGTCAAAATGCAAAGGACAGATGGCAAAACCTAAACCTCCCAAATCAACCAAGCATGCGTTGCAGCGTGGACGAAGAGAACGAGGGGAACAGTTGGCACGTAAGTCCTGACAGGTCCTCACACGCCTCCGGCGCCGAAAGTTGTCCGTGCAGTGACGCGAGTGTGAATTCACACAGTGGTAGAGATGAAGAGATAGAGGTGAACAAACACTCGAGCAGCTGCGGCGATCTGTCAACAGGTTTGAGTGTTCGTGCACGGTATTCCAGGGACTCTAGTTCAGCGGAAGTCTTCTAAAAAAGTGACTTCGCACTCGCAGCCCGTCTGACTGCGTTCGCCTGATCCGCGGGCCGCGTGCCTGTCTAAAGAATTCGAAGGTCACAGTCTTTTCGTGCGTGCACTGGCGAGCTGGCTAGGCCGGGTCAGGGAGCGCAAATTGTGGGAGTAAACATTTTTTGTTCATAAAGCTGACAAAAAATTATGGGTGCGCATATTAGGTGATGCCGCAAATTATGCAAGTAAGTACGGTAGATGGAGCAAATGCTGTGGCAGACGGCAGCCAATGGTTCACACACGCAGATGGCACAGAACAACTTGGAACATTTAGATCATGCGACTTGATTACTTATCAGAGAGGTCACCACAGGCTGCTGTCAGACAAACTTGGGCAATCGAAGAAGCCCTCTAGCAGCAATAGAGTTGCTCCTGTGTCTTTTGGCACTCTGGAGACTTTCATGTAAAATAGGATGAACTACCAAAGTCTAGGTATGGGCCACGAACTTATTCATGATGGTTGAATTCTTATGCTTTACATACTGAAACAATGATGCGGTGATAACGGAAATTCTAAATCTTGTGAGAATAGAGCGCGCCCTCCCCTTTTGGTACTTCGCTTCCCTGCTAGTGTGAGCACTGGCACTGCGCGACTCGAGCGTCGGGAACAAAGCCACTGTGGTTTCGTCGCCAGGCCTTTTTGTCCGATACGAGCTGTACGTCGGTTTTCCCTGCACGAAGACACGTGTCCGAACTTGCCTGGACAAGGCCTCCCCTGATATGTGGAGTTTAGTGTTCCAAAACCGCTATATGATTATGAGAGACGCCATAGTGGAGGGCTCCGAAAATTTCGACCACCTGGGATTCTTTAACAAGCACCCAAATATGAGCACACGGGCCTACAACATTTCCGCCTCCATCAGAAATGCAGCCGCTGCCGCCGGGATGCAATCCCGCGACGTGCGGGTCAGCAGCCGAGGAGTACCTTAGTCACTACACCACCGTGGCAGGGCAACAACGCCTCCCCCTCACGTCACGATAGTACACATCATGGTGTTCCTTATCCTCATTGGCCACCCATGACAGTCCCTCTCCCGGTAGCTTGCCTTCGCCCGGCGCTTGCCTGCCGCTGAGCAGATTGACACAGGCCTGCACAAGAGGTAGACGCACTGCTCTTGCAGGCGGCTTCTCGTAGGCATGCTTGAGTGCTGCCCTTTGTGTGATAGCCCTAGCGCCTGCCAGTAAGGATACACTCAGTCGGTCTTGTGGAGTTTCCTGCCGGACCACAAGACCGTGATTGTTGCACTGTGCTGTATCTTGAATAGATAAACCCGTGTTTGTTGATGACCTGCCTTGAATGCCATCTCTGCGCCGTGTCGGCGAGTCGACGAACCCAGCCTTAGCGTCTTTGTGAGCATCACTTCCCAGTCGATTCGTAGGGGTAAGCCTTTTGCAAACCTATTTCCACAATCTAAAGCCGAGTGTCCTTCAGGACCCCTTTATGGGTAATAGAGTTTCACCACCACCACCAAACAACATTGCTTTTAGAACAACTTTGTGTCCATAAAACACCATATATTTCTATCCTCAATGTAATGAAACATGTTTATCTACAACTTCAATATAATAAAGCTTTGCTGCTGCCACAGAGGTAGAGAGTGATACGATAAATAGAAACTTATTATAGTGCTTATTAAATGTTAGTTACACACGGTGTTTTTGTAAAATGCACATTTGAAATCATGCATTGTGCACCGGAGAGTGACCATCACAGCAAAGACGTTTTTTTAATACGTAATGTTTTCTGGAAACAGCTGGTGGGGCAAGGGCACACGACTGTTCGCACACCTTGACCAGTGCACCTTACTCCTGGTGCACTGTATGCAGCACTACAGTTCTGTATTAGGCTCCTTGCATCACTTGTGCAGCACCTGATTTTGGAATTTTTGTTGTCACTATACAGCAAGTGACAAGCATGAGTTATGGCAGATGTGGTAGTACTAAACCCAATTGGCCTCACTGATTTTGCAAGCTATCATAGTCATTCAGGAAATGAATGATGTCGAAAAACTTAGTTTCTTACTATTCACAACTCCAGAAAACGCTCCGTATGCTTGCAACACTGATCAAAAAAACAAAAATGGCTACGCTGAATGGGATCAACGCGGCACTTTCGCTTGGCCATGGCTTGGCACTGTGCCAAAGTTTGTTGATTGTGACGTCGGATTGCGTTGCTTTGTCGAAAGCGAAAGAGCGCTGGTCGCGAACCCCATCATTCTCATCTGCATAAAAATTTTCACTGCTGAAAAAGAGGAAATAGTTGCACCGTGCGCACAAACATTGAGCCTCTTCGGCGAACCGCATCAGATTTATCTCAAGTTGAAGAACCTGTATAGCAAGCCCGAGGTTGAAGGAGGCAAATGTTCATGCGTAGTGGGCCTCTCCGAAAGGAGATAGCACTTTTGTCCTGCATTGCTACACTGCTACAGGCAAGGTCCTGACAGTTTTTGAGGTACTCTGCAACTCATGCTGCGGATGGCATGCATCCCACTGAGTTCCGTTGCCCCATCAAAGGCTGAATACGCATGCCGTTCACTTGATTACAGAACAAAGCTATGCCTGGGCCAGTGTATCTTGAGATAAGACAAATAATAATTTCGATTGCAATATGCTTTTTTCTTTTCATTCGCCGATCCATGTTATTAGATTTCTAATGAATAAGGTCGTATGCTTCCTAACTTCACTTGTTTGTGTAGGCAGTAGTTGATATTCAAAGCAAGTACATAGGACTCTCATTAAACGAAACTATCTAGGCACATTTGGCTGGTCTCCTATATATTTAATGATAAAAAAGTTCAGGTAATTGCAACATTTTTTTCTTCATTTACATCGGTTAAATGAAACTACAACTGGCAAAATCTATGAACGGCGGAAATGGCCACGGCAGTCTAACAACCATGAAACAAATACCGATGCTACCATAGGCTAGCTAAGCCAATCCGGCAATCGCATATGTTCGTCCATGTCGAGCAGCGATCGATGTATCATCATAAACTTGAGATGGAAACAAAACAAATGGCAGCACAATGCACTTTCACTCACAACGAAAGTAAGAATCATTCAAGAACTTGACCACAACGACAAATATTGCGAAGAAGTTCAATATTCCGAAGTCCACACTGTCGAGGACACTCAAGAACAATGGGAAGATTGAAGAAGCTATAAAGCTTGGGAACTTTGCCACGGACAGAATGTGATTTGATGATTGATAAGTGGGGTTTAACGTCCCAAAACCAGCATATGATTATGAGAGACGCCAAAGTAGAGAGCTCCGTTAGTTTCGACCACCTGGGGTTCTTTAACGTGCACCCCAATATAAGCACACGGGCCTACAACAGCGGACAGAATGTGGATGAGAACGACTGCGTCTAAAGAAATCGAAAATGTTCGTTTCCTATGGTTCAAGCGTGTGCACACTGCGAACTTCCTGATCAGCGGCTCAATTTTGGAAGAGAAGGCCAAAGAGATGGCTACTCGGATAGGGATCGACTTCCGG